TTGACACATGATTTCTCAGACTGTAATATGCAAATATGAATTGTGAATATCAAAAAAGAAAGGTCCAGAACAAAGAGTGTTCCAACTTTTTCTTTGACCACACATCGCTATTGTTTTGCTTTCTTTAGTGGTCATGTAGAACCATGTTTCACAGAGTACACTGAAACGCAGACGTCAGGTCAGTCTATCAAAAGACCGTCATTTAGACCTACAGGATTTAACATACTATAACCAAACAGAAAAATCCACCGGTTCACATTTAAATTCGGCAAAGAGATCCTCTCTCTCCCTGACTGCCATAACTTCTTTTGTTAGTGATACCTGAAGCTACAGTTCCATCATGGTAGGAGTCGCAGCTGAGGCAATAGGGTGAGGCACATGAGGAAGGGGTGAGGATAAGTTGAGGGATGAGGAGGGAGACGGCAGGGTGGGGGGGGGTGTCTTTTTTCATGACTGTTGGTTTTGTTTTGTGGCTGACGTAGCCTGGCTGGATACAGGAAAGGGCACGCCCACATGCTTTGGAACCTACATTGAAAAGTAGTTGTAAAGAGACAGCAAGGCTTTCTTCCTGTGCAAGAAAGATTCAAATATGAATTGGTAAAAGAGTATTTTTGGGGAAAATTCTCAAAGGGTCACATTTGAATAAAAAACAACTATGTTCTCATTACTTAAGATCAAGACTCCAACGTGAATAGGTTTTTGCCTTTACAGTTTGAATCACCTATAAACTGCTGCAATTAACTCCTCCAGTTCCTTCCCCCATTTTACGATTATCAATTATCTTTCACTTCAATGGTTTTTTTCACCTGCTTTTCAAACTTGCTCCGAGCAGCAGTTCTCAACCTGTGGGTCGCGACCCCGCTTGGGGGTCAAATGACCCTTTCTCAGGGGTCGCCCAATTCATAACAGTAGCCAAGTTACAGTTATAGAGTAGCAACGAGAATAATTTTATGGGTGGGGGGTCATCACAACATGAGGAGCTGTATTCATGGGTCGCGGCCTTAGGAAGCTTGAGAAACACTGGTTTGTAGGTTTTTAGAAGTCTTTGAAGGATAAGCCAGATATTTTCCTTTTTTTCTTACTTTTCTCAATCTTATTCTAAATACTTAGATTCTCTTCATCTGTGCATACAGGTAATTACAGAATAATGTGGCTTTGATTTTGATACTTACATGAAATGAAAACTGCTTCTGTTAAGCTTTAATTTCCTCACCTCCACTTTGGTAAAGGGAGTCCATTCCAGTTAAAAGATCATTCAGGCCAATTTATAAAATTTGAAAGTGAATGGGGAGAAGAGAAGGACTGTAGGATTTTAGCCCTGTTTTATCACCAGAATACAATTAATAGCATTGAAATCACATGGCGTTAATGCAAAAAGCTACAAATGATCAAATAGGGTTCCAAAATTCATTGTAATATAGGTTGTTACCTTTGCTTTTTTCTTTTTATAACACTTAAAATTCTCAACATTTTATCCAACATCTTGCAGTCAGCACAATGGGACAAGGGAATCAGCTTCCTTTGTAACCATGGCACCGCACGTTACAGCCCACAGGGTCCAGGCAGAGCTCCAGAAACTGAATTAGAATCTGTGTGGATGTGCCAGATTTACGTACGGAATTGTAGCACTATTGCCTCAGCTGCTTTCTGAAGCACTATCTAAAATTAGTTGAGTCATATTTAGCATCAGATGCACCAGAAGAAGACCAAGTTATTTTTAGGCCCTGCTTTTGACTTTTAGAGTTGGTGACACTCAGACTTTTATTAGCCATGACGACTACGATGCACGCGCTATGTAATCTGTTTACTAGGTTGATTTGTCCTCGGTCTGTTGCCAATGAGTTTGCCTATATGGAAACACTGTTTGGTTGTATAAATATTTAGTATCTATGAATTGATTTTGATTTTATTTATTTAAATATCCTATTAAACAGGTTACGGTGGTAATCTACTTAAAGAAATTCAAGTGAAGCACGCTGGAAAACATTTTGATTCTATTTTAAAATCTTCTAAAAATATGAAGAAAACTTGAGAATCGGGTGTCAAAAGTCACATGGCTTGCAAGAAGTGATGCCGCCATCTCATGCCACACTAAAGGAATATAATCACCTAGTCTTGGCTATTCAATAAGATGTCAATTAAAGTGGAGTCGTATCTACAACTGTGCTAAGGAAGCATCTTTTCCATTCAATCCAACCATTTATTGAACATCTATGATGGGCCGGGTACTATTGAAAATACAAAACAAATTAATTAGTTCAGAATTAATTTAAAAGTTACATTGAAGGTAGAGTAAAAGATGAGAGTTCTTTCTCATACATGTTGAAGGATTAGTGAAAATATTTCGTAAACAAGGAGACTTCTCCAAACTTGTGGAAAATGGGAATAAAAGTGAATCTAATTTTCCATAAATATTTTGAAACTCCCTCATATGATTTTATAAACCACCGCAGTACTTTGTTTGACATTATGCACTTAAACCTCACATTCACTCATTAAAATTCAGTTCTGAGTGACTATTATTATAAATTTGCCATAGAAAAATCTTGCCTATCTTCCTAAGTGGGCTTCATTTAAACCATTTACCAATAAATGTTGCTCTTGTGATAATGATTTGTGAGGAGGAAGAATGCTTTTCTTGGCAATTAATCCCTGTGTTTGGCAATTCATTTAGTTCAATTAAAAATATCTGCTTGTCACTTGCATTCCCCATATTCCTAATGAAGGGAATTGAAACCATTTTGATATCTTGAAAGCCTAATTATCTTTCATACATTCTTAGAAATTTTATATCCTTATTTGGAAATGTTTCTTTAAATGGAATTACTCATGTTAATCCTATTTCAAAAGCAGTAGCATTACTAATTACATTACATGAACATTATTCATGTTCCCACAATATACATGTCAGATTTCCACCAAATGTTATCATTTTTTTCTTATATATTTTTAAGATTCCGTTAGTTTTATTAGTATTATATCCCCAGAGATTCCTTAATTTTTCATTTTTAGATAAATACTACTTAGGAAGAAAATTAATGGTAGGTGACTATTTCTTTGAACTATGTTTAGAATCCAGTTCCACCCCAGATAAGGCAAGAGATGACTAATCCAAGCAGTCGTCATAGTTGCAACAAATTGCCTATTGTCTTGCTGGATAATAAGCAAGAACGATCGGAGGAAAATGGATACATCTGACTTGTGGTGTTGGCAAATAATATCAAATATACTGTGTACTGCTGGGAAAACAAAAAGCAAAAAAAAAAGAAAATTAGTACTGGCTAAAGTACAGGCAGAAGTCATCTCAGAAATGAGGATGGCCAAACTTTCCTTTGTTTACTTTGGGAAATTTTATCGTATAAAGGATCCGTTAAAAAAAAAGGGTTCAGGAAGCCTTCTTTGAGAACTTTCCAGGGGCTGCAACAAGAGGCTCAAACATACTGAGAGGCTGTGCACAACCATACAGCATCTCCTCCCGTTACATGATGGGTCCTCACATGTCAGAGCAACTAACAGCAGCACTGTGGGGAATCACGAGAGTAAGTGTTGAACCCGTGGTTTTCAGAACCAAATCTTCTGAGATTTAATTGGGGAAAAGATTGTGAGCAAAGGACTGTGGTTAAGTGCTTCCCAACTGACAGCAACCCTATGGCCAAAGAATGCAGCACGGCTTGCTCTCGTGCCATCCTCAGCAAAGGCCGCAGTCTAGGTGAATGACTGAAATGGGGCTTTGTTGGGGTTCATGGTAAATTGCCTAAAAAAATCAGTTTACTCAGGAGTTGACAATGTTAAGTTCCGAAAACTGAAATATGTGAACAAGTTGTGAAAAATATGAAATAGTTTGTAGGCCTCATCACATGGTGAATGAGTAAACGGTGACTGCCGAATGGTCAAAAAGAGTATCCTCAAAAGCTTGTTGAGGCTCATTCGAAGAAAACTGAGGTCATAAAGGATCTTTGACAGAAGGAAACATGGGGCTTCTTTGGGAGCTGCCATTGCCCTTAGAGGAACAGAATCAGCTCAAGTAACAATTCTGGCAGAATGCTTATTATAGAAATATAAGTTAGTGTGATGTGCTGTCTATATTCATACTAAAAAGGACTATTTCTCTTTTATACTAAGTTTGGGGCATATTACAGTCAGTACTACCTATAATTAGTCCCTGAAGAGGTCAACATTTTGATATCTAGTTGTTTTGGGGGTGTGGGTAAGAGTAATGTCACAGATGTTGATGGAATACTAATTGAGACATATCAACAAAGCTGGATATGTCTCACTAGTTTATGCTGAAAATTTGGGAGACAGTTACATGACCAGCCAACTAAAAGACATCCACATTTGTGCCCATTTCAAGGGAAGATGAACCTGCAGGGTGCAGAAAAAATCAAGCAATATTATTAATATCACAGGCAAATAAAATGTCCTGGACATAATTCAAAACAGTTGCAGCAGTATATTTAGAGAGAACTGACAGAAATTCAAAGTAGATTCAGAAGAGGGTGTGAGATCAGGATATTATTGCTGATGTCACATGATGTTTAATCGAAGTAGGGAATCCCAGCAAGATGTTTACCTGTGCTTTAATAACTATATATAATAATTTAACTCTGTGGATTATAACAAATTATACTTAACATTGACAATAAGAGTGGAATCAGATTTATGCAGTTGAATTATGGTGTTGTCAAAAAGTACTGAAAGTGCCATGGTGTGTTAGGCTGAGTTGCCTAGAGGAAAAAAAATGAGTGACACTCATATGCATAAGAGGAAGCATTATGTCAAGCAGTTAAAGAAAAAGGAGAAAAAGTCATACTGCATTCTGCTACACAAGGCCTCTTTGAAGTGTGAGAGACAAAGATGTTACTATGAGAACTAAGACGGACCTGACCCAAGCCGTGACATTTCCAATAATCTTATATTCATTGAAAGCGGAGCAATGACTAGAGAACTGGAATCAGATTGATGCATGTGAATAATGGCGCTGGCAAAACATACTGAAAGTGCCAAGTTGTGTTAGGCTGGGTTGTTTAGAGAAACAAAAGCCCTTGTGGGCTGCCAAACACAAGGCCAGCAGTTCGAAACTACCAGTCACTTTTTAGGGAGAAAGATGGGACTTTCTACTCCCGTGAAGAATTACAGTCTTGGAAACTCACAGGGGCAATTCTACCCTGTCCTATAGAGTTGTCTTGATGGCAGTGAGGGAACCTCAGTGTTAACATTCAACTTAACTATTGCTTTGACTAAGTTATTACTTAACACTTCTAATGGTTTATCTTAATGGTCATAATATTTATTTCTATGACTTCCCCTTAGTTCTTTTGTTCTTGGGTTATAGGGCCAGTCTCTCTTTTATGTCTATGATAATAAAGCAAATGCTCATATTAAAGCCATTTTTGGATATTACTATTTCAATTTCCTTGGATATAAATTCTCCCTACTTAGTGGGTTGTTAGACTTTTTTTTTTTTAAGACATTGGGTTTTCTCATTTGCTTTGTAATTTTCATTTGGGACCCCATCATCCATGGTAGTTTGTTTTTCTCTCTCCTTCAGGAAAGTTAAGGAGCCCTGGTGGCACTGTCTGATAAGTGTTGGATTCCTAAATCCAACATGGGAGAAAGTTTAGGCTATTGGCTCCATAAAAATGTATAGCTTGGAAATCCTGCATAGGGTGGCTATGAGTTGTAATTAACTTGATGGCATTGGGTAGGAGTTTATAATACAGTTTTCTGCTAGGGCATCCAATGTTATAAACTCAAAGGTAGACCATTTGTTTACTCTCTGGGATCTCATACTATGGGAATAAGAGTGCTCTAGTCCCAGAACTAGTATTAAGTAGGAACTCAACTATCAGTCACAAGGTGGGTCTCTCCTTTGCCACAGACAACATCTTGTCTCAAATTGCAATCATGGGTGCAGATTCCTGCTGTGCAGAGGCAGCCTAGCTCCAGTCCTGATACCTGTTCACATGTTTGGTCCTAGTCCCTTGTGGAAGTTACCGAGTCCTGCCTTTGACACATTGCTCAAGACCCTGGCCAGCTACATACCCTCACTCTTCAGCCCTCACTCATAGCTATATGTTTTGGCTCCTTTTCTACTCAGGATTACTTTCTGGATATAGCTGGATAATAATAAAGCATTTTATTGATTGAATGTGTTGCTCTCTATGGGTCTGCATACACTCCACCTTCTTGACCCAAGTACCCAGCACAATTCATGACAGCTAGGCCTCTGTGGGCCTGGAACACAGCACAGAGGGGAGAACACATAAGATAACTTATGATAACTTGGTGGGAGGAGAATTCAGATACTGACTTGGCTCCACAATCCACTCTTTCTCACCCCAAATGAACACTTTATCCCTGGACTCACTGGAATAGAATGTCCAGTTCTGTGCCTGAAGTCTTTCAGGGAACCACACATTTCACTGTGAAAACTATTCAAATGGGGAAAAAGCAATTGCCCCGATTCCCTTTATATAGAGGCTTTACTTAGAAAAAAGCCGAGGAAGGGGGTCAGGCGATGGCGGATTAAAGATAACCTTGAACACAAGCTTGTCACCATCTTGGAGGAGATTAAATTCCAAAGAGGTCCAAGTGTGTGGAGTCAGAGATGATGTGGCCAGACAGTCGTCCTGGGAATTAGTGCCACAGAGGAAGCCATTGGGCCTCAAGTGAGAAGTGGCCCAACTTTTCTTGCTGAAAGAAGGAATTGAAGCAGTTGCTGATGAAGGTCAAGGATTGCAGCCTTCAGTATGGATTGAAACTCAATGTCAAGAAGACCAAAATACAACCGGACCAATAATTCACATAATGATAAATGAAGAAATGTTTGAAGTTGTCAAGAATTTTGTCTTGTTGGATCCATAATTAAGGCTCATGGAAGCAGCAGTCAAGAGATCAAAAGATAGTTTGAATTATAGGTAAATCTCTGGCAGAAGACTTCCTGAGAGTATCAAAAGCAAGGATGTTACTTTAAGGATTAAGGCACACCTGATTCAAGCCATGATGTTTTAAATTGCTTCATATGTTTGTGGAAGTTGTGCATTGAATAAGGAAGACTGAAGATCAAGCGATGCATTTGAATTGTGGTGTTGTAAAAGAATAAGGAGAGTCCTATGGACTATTAAAGGACCAAGTGATCTGTCTCAGAAGAAGTATGACCAGAGTGCTCCTTAACACAAGGATGAGGAGCCTTCACCCTCCATACTTTTGACATGCTGTCGGGAGAGAACAGTCCCTGGCGAAGGAAGGACATCATACTTGTTAAAGCAGAACAGTGAGAAAGAGGAAGGCCCTCAGTGAGATGGATTGGCACAGTGGCTGCAACAGGTTCAAACACAGGAACAGTTATGAGGGTGGTGCAGGGCATCACAGTGTTCATTCTGTTTTGCATGATGTTGCGATCAGTTGGAACAGATTCAATGGCACCTAATAACAGGAAAATTTTAATTGTCAATTTTTAATTTCTGTTTGGTCATCTTCCTTTGGATTTCTGTCTTCTAAATATCCTGGGATAGATATATGAATGTTTGCAGTACTCCATCAACTTGTTGAAACATTTAATTGGTAACTGTGGTAGTTACATAATTTCATGTCAACTTGAGGGTATTAAGAATGAAGGGGTGGAATCTAGCCTGTCAATCAGGTCACAGCCTGAGGATGCCTCCTTGTGGACATGGCCTTCTTATGAGGATTCAGGGAACTTCTATCTCTGCCTTGCTCTTCCTGTTGACAAACCACTCGGAGACATGCTGAGACTTTCAAGAACTTTCTCTCTGCTTTACCGGAGAACTGGAGGAGGCACATGAAGACCCGTGCCAGTGCTGAGATGCTTCCACCGCCATTGGATCCACAGACTTTACACCTGTGATTTTCCTGCATTTTGCATCATTGCATGTGATGTGTATGTCTGAAGAGAGATGTATGGACTAGTATTAGACTTATGAGCTAATATAGGACTTATGGACTTGATTTGGACTGGCCTGAGATGTTTTCTTGATATACAATTGCTCTTTGATATAAAGCTCTCTCTCACACATACATGAGAGTCAATAAATTTGTTTCTCTTGTTGATTCGACCTAACACAGCAACCATACATTTCCTGGAGTC